TAATGATTAAAAATTACAAAAAAATAAAATATTTAAAAAATTAAAAAAATAAATTATTATCAACTAAGATTTATCAACTTCTTCCACGTGCCAGGTATTTGAATTCAGTATTCTATTAAAGTTTCACATCCACTTTATCATATCCTATTACTGTTACCATTTTCACAGATAAACCAAGACAGGAGAGATGGATCTGATCTGCCCAAGGTCACAGAGCTAGTGAGTGACAGGATCAGGTTTCAAATGTGTCTGTGTCTGGCAGAATCCAACACTGTGTCCCTAGATATTTTTCTCTAATCCTGACAAATAGAACCTGACCGTCTATGCGCATGTCTAGTCTAGCTTGGTAATCTGAAGGGAATCACTTAAATGAATTTCTCTTTATCTCTAAAACAGAAGTGATATTCCCTGACCAGTAGGTGGCTGAGAGAATTTTATGGGATAATAAATGTAAAAAAAAGAAAAGTGTTTAACTCAAGGCAGTCTCATGATAAGTTATTTCCCTGTTTCCACTTCTTCCGTGTCAAGGATAACTGCCTTCCAAACTAACTACAATACTAAGAGTCTGGGGATAATGTATGAAGGTGGTTTCTCCTGCTTGCCTGTGTACCATGTCATGGCTCTGAAATCCTTCTTGTATATTTACAAGCTGTAAATTAAGAACCATTAAGGTACTATGAAATCAAGTCAATCAGTTGTGTTCATCACTTAACACAGAGAATCACAGAATGCAAAATAATGAGGTATATTGTATATTAAAAGAGTATTATTTAATGAAAACTTTCATCTTTATATGTGTTTCTATTTACAGGGTCCTTCATTCTTTGAATCAAATGATTTCAAAGTTTTTGAAACACTGATTCACATATTTTACATTAGGATGCAATCAAATTCTAGAGGTTTCTATGACTGACTACACCCTTTTTTTTAAATCTCACAGTGCATTTTACCATCTTTCTTTGGTTCCTACTAAACACTGAGTTTCTTATGGACAGGAAATATGATGTTTCTGCTGAATCCTTAATGTCTAAATTTAAGAGTAGCACATGCCCTCAAGAGATGCTTCATGAGACGGCTATGAGTCAAGCATAGCCATCAGAGCACTGATTTGTAAACCCAAATTCCTAGCACAGAGGTTACTTGCTCAAATTTCCCAAATCAATATCCTTTATTAATAAACGAACACAGGCCAAGATTTTCTTTTCTGTGACCTCTAACTACTCTTACCTGGTATATGTGTCTGGTTTTCTCTCTGACCCTCTGCCTTCTTCTGGTGATCTCGGTACTCTAAAGATCTTTTATCAGAAGATATCTGTGTCTCTATGTGAATTTAATACCCATTGTCTCTGACCTTAGTCCTGTTAGCAGCAGGAAAAGCCATGTTCTCTTTTAAAACCAGCTTTTTGCTGGCTGATAGGTAGAAGGGGAGAATATGTACAAGAAGATGAGCTCATAGTCACCCACGTGGGCAGCAGCCTACTTTGTTAGCCCATATGGAAAGACTTGAATGTATGTAACAAAACCCATGTTAGAGTAGCTCAGGAGACTGTCTACAGAACTGGTAAAGTGCTTGTGGAATACTATGAAAATATTTTCTTTATACTTTTAACACTTTACTTTTTTCTTTTTGTGGCACTAGGATTCAAATCTAGTCTTTCATATGCTATACATGAGTTATACTATTGAACTATATACCCCATCCCCACTCCATTTACTTTTAAGACTCTACAACTATGGGATTCATAATGGAGAAAATATGAAATACAAATTGCCCATTAAACCAAATGTATCAAAATCATTCCTACATGACATGTACAGTATAACAAGTGACAATTGATTTCATTTGTACAGTGTTGCCAAATCATATCAGGGCCTCACGCTAAAAATTAAAATAAGTGAAATAATTCCAACTAGATGGAAAATAGAGAAGGCTGGGGCCAGTTTAAAGTACCACTTGACTCAGCTAGTGCTGGTGACTTTCCCCGGTTTCAAGATTTCATGTAAACAAATGGCTACCACTTGGGAGGCTCATTTCTAGCAGAGGAATGATGCCAGGTTCTGTAGGGTTTTGAGCAGGAGCATCCTCTCCAACATGGCCAGAGTCAAAACTAGGATGGGAAGTGCGTGGGTGTTGGGGGAGGAGAGAGGAGAGTAACTTCAAGGGGAAGATTAGTTTTATGATGCAAAAAGTTAAATTATCATAAAAATTTTGCTTGTCATAAATCAAAAAAATTGTATATTTTCTAAGTTTTAGCTTCTTGTAAAAATATGAACAATATCAATGAAAACTCAAAAGTCTGTATCCTATATGAAACCCTAAAGAAGTGTATGTGTTTGAATTTCCATTCTCAGATAACCTATTCATTAACCTAAGCATCCAGTATAACACTCGCAGAAACAGAGTGGGAATCACAGCTAAAATATGTTCAACAGCCAAAATCCCATAAAGTAAGACTGAAGGAGGAGGAGGAAAGTGGGGGACAAGTCAAGGATTGGTGGGAGATCTGACTGTCATAATAGCTGTGAGGTCCCAGGCAAACGCATTCTCTCCTTGGGCCTGTTTCCTCTTCTATAAATCAAACACCAGACCTTGATAGCTAAAGTTCCTTCCAACACTCAGGACATAAAGGTAAGTAAAATGTGGATAATAATACTCCAAGGTCATTTCCAGACTAAAGAGATAGTCATTTAATATTAATATATCTTATAAGATAGCTCATATCTTATATTTACACAGTCAGAGAAACACTGCTACTCATTTATTTTGGGAGAGCAAGTAGTTGACTCTCTAGAACAATCCACAATAAACTGGAGCTGGTCCTATTCGACTACTGCAGATAAAGCAATGTCTCCAAGACCCCTTTTCAGTAAGGACTCTGTTCAGGCTCCTGAAGATTTGACTTAATATTACTTTCAAATATGTGTTTTCATTGTATAAATCACAACCCATTTAATTTTCCTAACCACATCATTTTCACCAAAATGATTTCACCTAATTTCTTCTAGTACATGAACAATAATTTCATACAGCCTATTTTTAGATAGACATCACTAGTTGATCATTTTTCCTTATAGTTTGATTCTATAAAACCATTCGGTTACATTAACTGATTTGTCTGTGTACTGTTAACCCAATTGGTTTTTCCCTATTTGCTACCTCAAAGTAATGCATGAGCATGCATGTGTATACACACACACATACACACACAATGAACAATAATTTCATACAGCCTATTTTTAGATAGACATCACTAGTTGATCATTTTTCCTTATAGTTTGATTCTATAAAACCATTCGGTTACATTAACTGATTTGTCTGTGTACTGTTAACCCAATTGGTTTTTCCCTATTTGCTACCTCAAAGTAATGCATGAGCATGCATGTGTATACACACACACATACACACACACACACACACACACACACACGCACACGCACACACAAACACACTAAATATAAATAAATAAATAAATGTAATTAAAAGTCCTGTCAGCATTGATGAAATTTAGAACTCATGCAGAAGGTTAGTGCCAGGTATGTTATACGTGAGTATCTGCATTTTTCACTCAAGATGTGACAAGAGGGATGAAATACTCACAGGCATTTTGAGTGCATTCATTTTTGTTTCTGCTAAATTAATGAGTTCAGCGGTTTGTTTTTGAGAGTTTCATTCTGTAGTCTAGGCTGGTCTGGAACTTACTATGTACTCCAAGCAGGTCTTAAACGTGTGATGATCTTCCTGTCTCTGCCAATCAAGTGCTGATATTATAAGTGTGAGCTACCACACCAGGCTAGCTGGTTGAGTTTTGATAGGAAGGGAACAATGGACTTTCAAGGTCTGAGAAACAACTGTTAAGGAGATGCCACAGAAGAGTCTTTCCACCAAAACTTTCAGGAAAACAACAAACCAGGATAGCTACTTAAAAGAACAACTGATTTCCAATGCAAGAAAGCTAATACAGTCAAAACCAGGAAATAATAAAGAATATTTTCTTCACAGACTGACTGCAAGCAAATGTCCAGAGCTTTTTAGTCTATGTCAAGATTTATCATAAATGCATCCCATGTTAAGTAATTTATAACATAATATTTTTAAAGAAAAACTTGGGAACTAGGTATGGTTGTGTGCAATTGTATTTCTAGTATCAAGGAAGGTCTAGAGTTCAAGGTCAACCTGAGCTACACAGCAAGATCCTTTTTTCAAAAGCAAAAACAAAATTTAAAAAAGATGAAAAGCTATGGGAGTTTTAGCTAGATAATTCCAAAAAGTACTTCAAAGTAGTTAAACACAACGTCTTTAAACATTAGCTCACCACAGACCATGGGCTAATTGGAACAGAGGTGTGGCGTTTGTTTTCTCAGACCAAATGCTTACAAAGCGCACAACAGAGTAAGAATGCTCCACTGCCTACCTGACGTAGAGGGAGCGTTTCTGATTGGTTCGAAGGGACCCGGACCCGGAGCTCATGCTGTGGTTCATCATCTGCTCTCGTAGGTCATGGATTTTGGCCTCAAATCGAGCGTAATCTGGGAATGGAAAAAACACAGTAAGTTTGGTTCTCTGCCTCCAGAAAATTAGAAATGCTGTACTGAGAGGCTGTGGCTCCCCACTGGCCCTGGCTTGTTTGCCAAATACCAGGGAGATGCGCAGCTTGAGAAGAGTGCTTTAGTTTACTAGTACTTTTTATTGATAAGCATTCACAAGAAGAAAAGGAGAAACGAGTTATTCTAAATGCTGCCTAGAAAACACAGAGTCATCAAATCCTCAACTTGTGGTAAGTCCAGGTCAGCAAAGAGAGGAGAGTGGGAAAATGGAGAGGAAGAGAAGTGTGTCATAAACAGGCAGGCACAATGATCTTAATGATGGGCATGGCCTCCATCTTGGCTATAACGATGTACTTGCACAGGTGATAAATTATACAGAAACACACACAGACACAGACACCACACACACACACACACACACACACACACACGAATAGAAATAAAATCGAGATCTGAGCAAGATTTATACATTGTGTTCATGTCAATATTCTTATGTTCTAGGGTTTTGAGAAGTGGTGGAAACTGAGCAAAGGATTTCCTTTTATTATTTGTTACAATTGCATGCACATCTGCACTTATCTCAAAATTAAAACCTTAATTTAGAGGGAGCGAGGGAGTGAAGGAGGAGGGGAAGAAGTAGGAAGGGGGGGGGGCCCACACAAACATGAGCAGGCAGGAACAGTGCATGGAGTTCCAGTTGGCCTCATCCAGACAGGGCAGAGACTCAAGTACTTGATGATGAACTAAACTTTATGGGGGAGGGCTGCTAGAACTCTAAAAGTTGTGTCTCACTATGCCCCATAATTTTGTCCATATACCATACCTTGTCTCTTAGATGGAAGACAATGCTTTAAATCAACTTGTAGTTGGAATTAAAAAATGGGAGTAGAAAACACTGTCATAAAATATATTTTAGAAACATTTGAGCTTAAAATTATAAGGGAAAGGCGGGTCATTGTGTTGCATGTCTTTAATCCCAGCATTTGGGAGGCAGAGGGAGACGGAGCTCTGTGACACAAGTCCAACTTGGTCTAAGGGAGTTCTAGAAAAGCTGGAGCTACAGGGAGACCATGACTTAAAAAACAAAAAAATGAAAAAAAAATTATCAAGGAAATAAAAGTGTATTATGCTATTCATAGGAAAAATACTTTTGTCATGATAAGCTCATAAAAATAAAGCAAACGAGGCGGGAGAGCTGGCTCAGTGGCTACTAGCACTGGGTACTCTTGCGGAGGACCTGGGTTCAGTCCTCAGCACCCACATGGCAACTAACAACTGTTGGTAACTCCAGTTCCAAGGGATTGGACACCCTCTTCTGGCTTCTGTGGGTTTGTATTCGAGGATGCACTTACATACTTGCAAGATAAACACTCAACACACAAAATAAAAATAAAATAATAGGGCAAGTACCAAGACACTTTAAGGTAGTTATCAACACAATCAATATTTGAATTTTTAATATTGAATTTTTGATTTTTTTATTATTGAATTATTATTTATTTTTTAATATTGAAAATTGAATGTTAAATATTCTTGATCACAAGCTAGACATTTTTCAATAAACAGCTTGGCAAAATAGTACCATCTTTAGGAGACTGGCTTAAGTTACCCACAGAAAGCTTGAAAATGTTAACAGAAATTAAAAATGACTCTTTTAATTAAAGAAGCTCACCATGAAAAATTTTAATAGAGGCCCACAGTACATTTAAAAAAAATTTGATTTTCAATTTAATTTATTTACAACTTTTCATGAAAACAAGGATGACTAACTTAATGTAATAAAAGATGGTCTACTTAGAAAGTGCTTAAAATTCTTTATAATTAAAAAGTTCCATAGTCAACTTTAATTTCTACTTACATAATATATTGGTAATTGTGGGATGAATTTTTCTAAAAGATGACATTAATTTTTAGACAATAGACAACAGAGTACTAAGCTCTGAATGTTAAATGTAAAGGTTTGTACTCTGAAGATAAAAAGCCCCAAAATAGTTGGCCGGTAATTTCTGGTGCTTAAATAAAGTCTGGCATTATGTAAATTTGGAAGGCTTCCTGTTAAACCTAGTTTTGAATAATTAAGTTCTAAATGACTAAATAAGCCCAAAATATATTTAACCACATGTTTCACCTAAATTCTATTGACCATATTTTAAAACAATGTATTTCATTCCATTTTACCAGCAAGAGAAAATATTTTCGAGCATTGATATGATATTGTCTGTAGATTTAAGCCATCTTGAGTAAGTCATATTTTCTTGTTACTTAGACGAATCAACTAACATTTAGAGTGGACTACACCTCACTCAGGGCTTCACCAACACCATCTGTTCTAAGGTACCAAACAAGCCCCTGGATGTTGTTAAACAACTCTGAACTACATAGAGAAACATAATGGAAATGGAAGGCCCCTCTGTCTTGTCTGCCTTCTCTCTCACAGCTGTCCTTTCCCAAAGTTCATTCCAGAGGGACACAGCAGGGCTATATGGTGGGAATGTTTATGGCCAAGTGCGTGAACATGTAAGCACACATACATGCACACACACACACACACACGTGTGTGCACACATAAGACCCTATTTACACATTGTGCTAAGATTTTTTTCCTCTTCTTTTTAGGAGTGTAACATGGATAGTTTCCTACCTTATACCAAGTCTAAAATATCATTTTCTTTTTTAAAAAAATATTTTATTTATTATTTTTATTATATGTGTATGCATGTATTGCCTGCGTGTAGGTAAGTGCACCTGTGTGGTGCAATGCCCATGGAGGACAGAAGAGGCTGTTGGATCCCCTGGAACTGGAATTATGGACAGTTGTTAGCTGCCATGTGGGTGCTGGGATTCGAACCCGGGTCTTCTGCAAGAACAGCCAGTGTTCTTAACTGCTGAGCCAACTCTCCAGTCCCAAATACCACTTTCTTAATACCCTTGGTAACATTCTATATTTATACTAGTTTATTTAACAAGTCCCCTGTCTTTAGATCTTAGACCTGTCCAGCTCTTTGTGTCATAAAAGAGGGATCTCAGTGTATGTGTATACACTTACAGTGTTAGTACAGAAACCGTAATTAGAGATACTGGTTAACATTTCCCACAACAACCAGGCAGCCTCCATTAGCACTTCTTTTTAGGTCTTAAAGCCAGGTCTCATTATGTATCTCAGGCTGGCTTGGGACTCACTATGTAGCCTGAGTTGCCTAGACCTTCCTGCCTCGGCCTTCTTAGTTCTAGGATCATAGGCATGTACAGCAACACTTAATGATCCTCAGGAGGCAGAGGTAGGTGGATCTCTCTGAGTTCATGGCCAGCCTGGTCTACATAGTGAGTTCCAGGACAGCTGGGCTACAGGGAGACCCTGTCTCAAGAAAAAAAAGATCCTTTTAGGGGACCAGAATGGGAACTTTCAGCTTCCTCTGATCCGTGTCATATGACTACTTGCTGAACACTAAATATCATCCTTCAGTGCCTCTGAATGTCATGGACATGTAGGACTCTATCACTTAGTACCACTCAATCTCCCCAGAGACATGGGACTCTCTCCTTTACAGCTATGACAACTTCTCTATTTGTGGTAAAAGAGCAAAAAAATCTCCAACTGTACCCCGAGGGCATCTAATTGAATGCCAGTCCCTCACTCTGTTTGACCAACTAGTTTTTTTACTGCCTCTATCACACCACCTTGCAGTTATTTGTGTAGCTGCCTATCTTCCCATTAGGCTGAGCTCTCGCAGGGAGGCTGCTGTGTCTTATTCTTGAAATTCCCCATTTCAGACATAGAATCTACAAGGCCAGAAGGAGCTCAATACCTTTTTCAAGTGAGAGAATGATGAATGAGCAGAACCCTTAGATAAACGTGGCTACAGAACAGCTGCAAATAATGAAATGGACCATTTTCGATGTTATGTTTTATAAGAGAAGATAGTACTCATGTCTTCTAGTACTTTTTCCAAAAGGAAATGCTTGAATTTCAGACATTTTGTCAAATTATGTACTGTCAAACCTGTTTGCAGTTACTATTCTTTTCTGGATAATCTGTGGTGTCTAACTCAGTCATGCAATGTGCTGGAAGTAGTTCTCTTACACTGAACCTACACACAATAAGGACTTTGGTAGACTCTCACAGACTCTCAGTAGGGTCTTACTACTCCAGCAAGCATTATGACAGGACAGCTGCCTTAATATCAGGGTTCATTTGCATTACTGTATGGCTCATTAGATACCCAAAAAACTTTCTGCCATGTTTTTATAGTGTTTCTCTACATTATATATATTTCACAATGTTTAATTTTCCACTACTGATGACTTTATATTGCATTTACCCTCTTCCTGACTGACTATTTTGACAACCATCTTAATCACAAATCTTGTATTCAAAGGTACTTAGCTCTCTGTTACTTTTTGAAAATGAAAACAGAAGTTCATACAATTTCATCAAGGCATGAACAATAAGGTCTAGATTTACAAATATAAATGGTGTGTGTGGGAGTGGGCTAAGTTGCTTGTCTCTAACTTCCTAGAGATAAACCAAGTTTATAGTTGGAAACGCTCTAGAAATACACACCTGTGTAAACTGTGAAATATAAATCTTCATGTCTTATAAAACAAACTAAAACACAAGAAGTTAACATACCCATCCAGCATTAGCCCAGTTTCTTCCCTAAATGTTTCCTTTCTGCCTCTGCTCTTGCCTTTGGAATATTTTAGTCAAATTGCTGACATACTTCATTTCAAACCTCATGAGAACTGTGATGTTAAAGTACACTAATCTTTATACCATCTAGCTTTGAGCAAGACAGAACCTGAGTGGATTTGCTTCCAGAATGTGACATTACAAGGAGATTAATCACAATGACCCTGAGGTGGAAGGCAACAGCAAGCAGGGAATACTTTACCTTGTACTGCCTTGTACGAAAAGGTGACTAGTTTGAGATTATAAGTCACTTTTTATTTCTTGGGTCTTCTGTAACTAGAATAGGAGTGCT